CCAATCACAACGCAGAGATGAGTTTTGAATTTTTGATGCAAAGCAGGCAGGGTTTTGAGGGTGTGATGACAAAGCTGCGCGACGCTGGAGAAAGCAAAACAAGGAAGATGGCAACGACTATTGAACAGTTCTCGTTGTCAATCCACCTCCAAAAAATTGGCAGATCTCTTTCCAGTATATTCAACACCGTTGTACAAGCTTGACAGACTCAATTGGATTTCCCCGGTGTAATCAAAACGTTCACTCCAACTTTCTGCCACTGACAAATGGTTGATTTTAACTTCAGAAATGTTGAGTACAGTGGTTTAGTAGACCGGCTACTTGCATGTCTTTTTTGCTCAAAGGACAACAATAGTCCAAATCCATGATCTCAACAAGTTATCCATTGCTCACATCACATGCTGTTTGTTTGCACTCCCCCACCAGCTTCCTGTCGCGCTTCCTACGTCAGTCAGTTGCGCTCATTGGTCAGAGCGTTGGCCAATAGGCACAGACATGGTTTGAAAAACAACAGGTTGTTCTCATCAACAATCTTCCCATGTCTCATTCATCGGGGCCAGACTAAATTACAAATTTAATCTCACATTTAGTCAGGTTGATCAGGCTACCTGTAAACAGCAACACTATAGAAAAAAACAATTTCTCTGTGAACAAAGATGCAGGCAGAATTCCCTAATATGGTTAGTCGCACCAAAAATACAAAGCAGTTGCTCAGGGTTTCAGCTCACGCAATAAAAAAAAACAAATTCACATAAAACTTCTCTCCATTTCATTTGTGTTTTGGCTCTTGTTTAAAAAAAAAAAAAACATTTATTCCAGAAGTGTGTTCCCTGCTTTAAAAGCTCTTATTGGTTTGGCTCTGAGTAAGTGAGTCAAAACCCCTTTCAAACAAAATCCTCAGAAAAACTATTTTGGTCCCTCGTTCATACTTCAGATCTATCAGTGACAGACCTTTCAGGTCATTTTTATTGATCTAAAAGGCTCTGCCCCCCCCTTGCTTTTACTTCTGTGTAAAGTGCTCTAAGGGTCACTTCATTCAAACTTATTTGATATTATATTATTATATTTTAGCATGCTTGTTGAAGTATTTCTATCATGCTAGGGCGTCTGTGCCATAAGATGGTCTAGTTTAGGTTAAAAAAAAAAAATAGGTCATATGTGAAGGCATCATGCAAAAAGTAATATCCAATGAAGACGGGGTCCTATTATCCAGGATTGTCTTAAACAAAAAGTATGTAAATGTTACCAGAATGATACGGCAAATACAGTAATTGTGGTCCTATATCTCTTCTTACATTATGCTAACGCTCAAGCTGCAATGATGAAGATGAAAAGTTGCTGGAAAGGCAAGTGAGACCAACCTATTTTCTGATTAATACAATTATCTATCCACTTGAGGGCACTCATACACTATTTATAGAGCACTGAACAGTCTGAGACAGGCAACAATAAAGCATTGTTTTTGCCTTGCTCAACAGCAGTCTTGACTCTTCCTGTACACTTAAAAATCACAAAACTTTCGGAATATGCAACAGAAGAAAGTAATGCATATGCTTCATGAACCTCAAAGCAAATTATGCTTAATTGTAGATAGACAACTAAACATGGCGAGTTGAGTAACACTGATTGTATTGATTTTATTGTGCTATTGCATATTAAGAAATGTGATAAACTTTTCATCAGCAATGTCTTTTATAAATCAATGGATTTTGTTCTTCTTTTGAAGAAGATTGCACCTTTTTCTGCGGTTTAGAGGAATATCTGCTATGATTTGATATTAAAAACTGCACAATTCCAAATGCAAAGCCCTCTGATTACCCTGCCATCTTTTTAAGTACCGTAGTATCTATAATGCTTTTTAGGGCCTGGTAAAAAGCATGACTTCACTTTACCTTTTCTACTGGTTTTGTCCATTAAGCTAACGACAAACTTCAAATATACCATGACTTTAAAAGCCTCACTTCTTTAAAACTGCAGTTTATTTCCTTCTTTCAAGCCACAACAGATTCTGATGTAAGTGACATTCACAGCGCTCCCTGTGGAGCTACAAAGGTTTCAGAAAACATTTAAAGAAAAAATAGCAACATTCAGACATGCAACTGACTGTGTTCACCTTTAAGATGTTTTGTAAAAAGATGTAAAGTATGTAAAAAAATATAAAGTCTGACTTAGACTTAATACAAAGTCTGGGTCTTTAGACAAACTGATACAGTGAATACTGCTTAAATGTCAAAAGTCAACATATTAAAAGATAATATAAAAATATATATGATTACATATATATGATATGTACAGGTGTCATCTGTAGAGGAGGAAGTTAATTACACTTTGAGGAAGGAGGAGGTTGGAGGTTCTGTGAAGGCGAAGCCGCCCAAGACTGCGGCGAATGCTGAAACGGCAGAGCTGAGTCAGAGAGCAGGGACCTGAAAAACAAAGAGGGAACATGTTTTAAAATCAAAGCTCTGGGAGATTAGCAAAAAAAAAAAGGTAACGGTCCTGCCTTTTCTCTGTAGAGCAGCTCTAACTGCGCTGTTTGGTGCCGACAGATCCAGAGGAGTTTTCCCCTCTGAGTTCCTGCAGGCTTTTTCTGCCCCAAACTCCAGCAGAAGTTCAACAATGTTTGCTTCTCCAGCACGAACCGCTGCGTGCAAAGGGCTATCCTGCCCGCAGCCAGGGCCGACATCTGCACCTGCACAGAGAGAATTTACCATCAGAATCAAACGGAAACCATTTAATACAATAGCTAAGTGGTCTGCCTGACTACCACTCTGTAGGGTGAGAAACTGAAAACATGTAATTCATGCTGGAGTAAAAAGATTAATACTAATTAGATTTAAAAATACAACATTAAATGGTTTCTCGTTACAGTTGGTAGCTGTGCAACTGGGAGCGAGTAGAAAAGCTTTGAAAGGTATGCTGCTGTGAGATGTGAAGCTCTGCTTTCCGTTTCCATGGAAATCTCAAGTGGGGGGTCTAACAATTAGTCGGCGTGAAAGCAGAAAATCATCCAGGAACAGAAGTTGCAACTGAAACTGAAGTTTAGTTAGACATGGAGAGCTGGCTTCTTGGTCCATTATTGCTCAACTTTTAACTTAAATCTACAGCTACATTTTTTGGTGTCATTCTGTCATGTCAAAGTCTTAAAGTTAAACACATCAAGCTTAGATAAGGAACAAAAAGTTCCTTAGTGACTCTCAGAAATACAAAAATAAATATAAAAAGCCTTATAAATAGTATGAATATGTAGTAATTACGGCAACATAAAATTATGACAAATTTAATATGTATTGTTTTTCTTAAATGTGTAAAGAACAACAGTTGCAGCTGTCAAATAGAATAGAATTCAACTTTATTGCCATTAAATTGTCCCAAGTACAAAGCAATTAAATTAACTCTACATTTCACCCATCCCCTTGGGGAGCAGTGGGCTGCCATTGTGCAGCACCCAGGGAGCATTGTGAGTTTAAGTGTCTTGCTCAGGGACCCAGAGTGGCAGTCCGTGGGAGTAGGGATTGAACTCGGAACCTGTGGGATCAAAGATCAACGCCCTAACCACTAGGCCACCACTCCCCCAAAGAGGAGAAGTGGACCATTGCAGTCACGAATCCATGAAGTTCATTTCAGTTTTCCCATTTCTTAACCTGCTGAGCTACCGTTTTAGACAAACATTACAGAACAGAAAAAAATGAACTCAAGCTGCAGTCAAAAAAAGGAAAAAAGGGATAAAGAGAATAAATCAAGCTGAATTTAAACATAGTTTTTGTAGTGCTAAGTAAATACAGGTGATATCATACATGTTAACAACTGAAGTCTTTTTTATGTGTCTACTAATCATGTGCACTTTATGTGTTTTCCTTTTTTCCCCAAAGAGAGCAAATTTGCCTCAATTGTCTTTGTGTTTACTTGATATGCAATGTAAAGTACCCTGATGCCAAGCATAGCAGTTTGCCTCAGACAAAGTTGGTGGGGCAGCCATTAAAGCTTCTTTCCCATAGCATGCTATTTCTATCATAAACTTGCAAAGACAACGTCCAGCTTCCTATGACCATTCATAAATCACAGCAGCTGATTTAGAGCTGTAGTTTTCCACTAAGCATAAATCAGAATCTGTAAAAAACAAAAAACCTTCTTTTCAAAAATTAATGGCTGACAAACTCAAGTGTAGAAATCCTGACTGTGCAGATTAAAAACTACAAATTTTAACCAAATATCTCCTTGATTATAAATGTTTGAGACTTCTCTTGTCTCAAATGATTTCTGGGTTTTGTTTATGCCTGTAAATCCTGCAGCTGGACCATCTTCACAATTGAGACAGTGCAGATCTTTGACTACCTGAAGTCTTTCAGGAAAGGGTCCTATGAGTTTTAAATGCATAAAAAAATACTTCCAGTCAAAAGTTTTTTGTCATTACCGTGTGGGTCTGTCCGTTATTGTGACATAAATGAAGCCATTGCTTTGATCAGCAGACAGTAGCTCTTACTCAGAGCCTCTGGCTTCAACTGTATCCCTTTCCTGGATGAAAGCATTAAGTGAGCTTTTGCTGCCATATGGTAGTTTCTTGCTAACACACTTCAGTAGACAATTCAAAGTACTTTTCATGAAGTAAATAGTAAGATATATGAAAATAAAATCCAAATAAAAGTTTTTTAAAAAGTTAGAACAAAAAAAGATCCAGGAATTAGAGGGCAAAAATAAGTTACTAGAAACCTCCCAAAATGAGGAAAAATTGGGTAAAATCCGCAAAATAAATTGGAATTAAACGAATAAATTGAAACACAAAACACATTTTTAATACAGAGACTTTGAATAGAAAACTTTGAACGTAGCAATAAGTCAGGAAGCTTATTGATAAATTAATCAGCTAAAAAAAAAAAAAAAAAAAAAAAAAAACATATATACTTGCAGTTAGACTTAACTGGTAATACAACACCTTCTGTGATTTCTATAAATCTTTATACACATCACAGATAAATCCACCAGAGAATGACATCAAGCAATTTCTGGATAAAATAACTTCTTAAATTATCAGATAGTCCCTGCAAAAATTAACCCTGGACTCACAGCTGACAGCAGTTGAAGCTAAGGAAGCTCTAAAAAGCATGCCAAATAAAAAGGCTCCAGGTCCAGATGGTTTTCCTCCTGAGTTTTATAAAGAGTTCTGGAACATTCTGGCACCAACGTTCTACAGAATGCTGCAGGAAACTCAGGAAAATGGCAAATTTCCAGCTAATATGAATTCTGATACCATTAGTTTCCTGCTTAAGCCAAGCAAAGATCCTATCTTTCTCACCAGCTATCGTCCCAGATCCTTAATTATTGTGGATATTAAAAAAATCTGCAAAGCTTTTGCAAAACGAATAGCCAAGGTCACTCCTCTCATAATCCACCCTGATAAAACTAGTCTCATTAGAGTAAGGCAGTCAGCCACAAACACACGCATATTAATTAATTTAATAGTTTATTCCTACAGTAAAAATATTAAATCCAACACATTGGTTAAAAATCTTATATGGCTTCCCAACAGTATGTCAGGAAAAATAATCAAACATCTTCCAGCTGTTGTCTCTAGCAGCAACAATTAGACAAACTAATGTTGTTAAAGGTATAAAATGCATAAAAATAGAGCATAAAATTGGTCTTTACCAGTGGTGTCAAAAGTACACAAATTTGTTACTTACCGGTAAATAGAAGTATAGTATTTCAGTTTAAAAACACTCTGGTAAAAGTTGAAGTATCAACAAGTAAAACTAAAAAAGTATGTGCTCCGA